ATAGGGACTTATTTTAGGTTTGCACCACCTGGTACCAGTTTGCATTCCTCTGTGTAACCAAGGTTACACAGATGCCCTGTAACCTGCCAGTCATGCTGGTGCGACCATAGTTACAGGTATCCTATCCCAACTAATCGACAGAATGCTGTCGCTGTAATACCGTCTATGTATTACATAGGTGATTATTCAAATTTTCGCCATCGGTAGGTTTTGAACTCACAACTTACCACTTAAAGGGTTGACAACTTATCCACTTCACTAAGTCGCCACACTACAAATTTATAGTATTTAATAAAGATATTTTAATTTTAATTAAATCAATTCTTTGTTACAGGTTTTTTTTATATGTTTTATTTTATTTACTGTTTTAGTTTTAGTTACATTAATATTATTATTCTAATTAAGTACTCTGCAAATTAAATGCAAAGATGTTAGTGCTGTTCTATCTTCTAAAAGACTTATTTTTACAACACTTCATATAATAATACTTTTTGTAATACTGCTATTATACATAGTATCTTTTTTTTATAAAGTTATCTTCTTTTAAGAATTTCTAATTTATTATTATATTTTATTTTGAAACTTTTTACAGAGTTTCATATTTGAATTGGTTTTTATTTTAAATTACAAAATTAAAATCTTTCAATTTTGCCTTTAGTTAACTTAAACTATTAGTCTTATTTGTAAAAATTAGTAACTATCAGATCTGCATATACTCTCTTTTGAACATACAAGTTTTGAAGTAGAGTAACCCTTTTGTTAAAAATAAGAGCAAAGACAAAACAAAACTGACTAAATTATTTACTAAAACAAAAGCCCTTGTCCTTGTTCTAAGAAAAAGGTCCTTTACAGAATCACAATATACAAAAAGCATAAAAAACAACAAAAAAAATAGCATTAACAAGTGCAAAAAAAAAGTAAAAAAAAACAAAGAAAATGTGTTAAGCTTTTCAAACTTGATGACTAACATAGAAAAGGCTACTAAATATGAACAAAAAGAAAAGCAGATACTAAAAGAAATTTTTAGTGAAAACCTGATAAGTTGAAACAAATAAGTTAAACTAGAAATAGAAAAAATAAAAGCTATTCAAGACCAAAAAGTAAACAAAAATAACACATTCAAGAATACTATAAACATAGCAACAAACAATACATTTGAGAAACAGATAATATTAGACAACTTAGAGAAAATTGAAAATATAACAGAAAAGAAGCTAGACATAACAGAAAACTTGCAAAGTAATAGTTCATTAAACAAAGCATATAAAACTAACCCTTATAATAATGTACAAAAAGACATTAACAGACAAAAAGGCCCAAAAGAAACACTAACTAAATAGTGATCTAGTCTCTTTTCAAAATTAAGAAGAGGACAGTCTATCTATTCCTTCTTCATACTTAGAAGCCAAATTAGATCAAAAAATAAAAATGCCCTAATGATAGATATTCAAGGCATGTACAGCTCTTTCAATAAAATTATAGCCTTATTATTTAAGAACTTTAAAGAAGACATCATAGCAGCAAAACAATACTTTACAAAAAGAACACATATATATTTAGAACTGTATTTGAAAACAAAGACAAATTAAAACATTATGCTATCAAGGGTATTAATATTTTTAGAAGAACCTTCTTTGGCTTTATTTCTACAGATTCAAGAAAATTATTTCTTTCAGTTAAGATCAGAAATGTTCTACTGGGTAACAAAGAAGCAATATCAAATGCTATCAAAAAAGCTTTCAAGTTTGTTGGCAAAATTGCATCAATCAAGCCCCTACTGATCGAAGTAACACCTTATCTTATAGACCAATGGATTATAATCTTTGAGAACTCAGATGATCATAATCTAGAAAACAAAATACTTTATTTCATACATGTGTAAGACAATAAAATCACAACAGAATAGAAATTAGCACCTAAGATGTGCTACTTTTGCAAAAAAGAAGGCTATGTTAAAAAAGAATGTCAACAATTTCAGAACTTAGTAAATCTACAAATTAGCTACCAACAATACAAAAAGAACAAACATAACAGAAAACTCTCAAATAACTTTTAGAAGTTAAATAAAACTTTAGAAAGTACTAAACAAAACAATAAAAAACCTTTATTATCAGTGAACCCTAATCAGCAAGAACAAAATAATACTAAAGATGACACATATATGGCCTTGAAAGAAACTAATTCTAACCATCAGCAAAACCTTCAACTTCCAATACTAGCAAAATTAGCTACAACAAATGACAGCTCAGATGAACAAATGCAAGCAATAACTCAAGATCTTATACCAGATACAGAAATGCTACTAAGAGATGAACTTGTTATTTATAGCTATAAAACATCACATTTGTCTGCAAGTCACATTCCTAAAGCAGCTTCTTTATTTGACAAAAATGAAGAAACAGATGGCTTTATCATAGTTATTAACAGAAAAACCAAAAAAAGAAAACAGAACATCTAAGAAAGATGTAACAAGATTATCTCCTTACAAGAAAACTCATGGAGAAGCAAGCCACTTTCAACTCAAGGTATCTAACAACTTCATATAATTTATGACTCAAAAAGCCAAACTAAAAATAGCAACACTAAATGTAAAAGAACTTAATAACAAAGAAAAACAACAAAATTTACTAACTCTTTTTAAAATCATACAAACTAAACATAATAATAATTCAGGAAACTAACCTTAATAATGAAAAAACACAAGAATTTCTTAAACAACAATAGATTTAAAACTCAATCTAAACTAAAAAAAACAGCAATTCTAGCAGGAAGCAAAAATATTGAATTCAAAAATACTCAAATAAGCCATAAAGAAAGGATAATAACAACAGACTTTGTTTTAAAAGGATACTTCTTCAAAATAATAAACATCTATGTACTACTAAACATTAGTGACAGAATAATCTTCTTTAATGATTGAAAATCTCAAATTAAAGAAAATAATATAAACATTATAGCAGAAGACCTTTAATCTTAACTCCAAAGACAGCAGAATAAGTTAAGCAACAGCTCAACATGATTCAACTAGAACCTAGCTTTCTAATCTAACAAAAGAATTTATTAACACAGCAGAGAGGTGTCAAGCACCAAGCTCTTTCTAACTTTTTTTCAAAAAACACAAATAACTGCTCAATGACTACATGTTTGGACTACATTTTTATAGATGAAAATCACAATCACCTTATATCAGAAGTTAGCATGCACTTTGGTAATTTAGACTATCTTCTAGTAAAATGCATACTGGAATTCAAACAAGAGTCTAAACAGCCTTCATTCTGAAGCTTCAATAAAGAATCTTTTAAAAATGAATTGCTAAAAAAAAGAGGTACTAGAGGAAATCCAGGATACTGGCCCAGCAGAAAACTGGGATTTATATAAAATCTATATATAATCAATCATCAAAGCCTTTCGAAAACCCAAAGCTTCTGAAAACAAAATGGCAAAGCTAAACAAAGACAGTACAAAGCTAAATAAGAAGCTTGCAGCAGATTTCTCAAAAGAACACCTTAACAAAAATATAGAAGAACTAAACTTCCAAATACAAGAAAAACTAACCAAGATGGCTGAGTTATAATTAATTTAGTCAAAGACAAAATGGATCGAAAATGGAGAAAAGTCAACAAAATACTTCTTTTCAAGATACAAAGCAAGAAAGTTACAAAGTGCTTAGTCTAGAATTGAAATACTTGAAACTTTAAGCTTAGAAAACAGAGATACACTTACATATATTAAAAACCAATACACAAAAATCTACAAAGAAGAAAACATAGATCATAAGGCAGCAGAAAAGATTACTAAAAGTCTCTCTCAAATACTACAGGACCAAAATAACAATCTAGTCAAAAGAATTTCATAAGAAAAAATAACCCAAGCAATACAAGGCCTTTCTAATAACAAGTCACCTGGCACTGATGGGCTAACCTATGAATTCTATAAACTCACATCATTAGAAATAGCATCAGTTCTTAAAAAGGTGTTCAATCAAGTACTAGATACTGGTTGTTTACCTGATTCATGATGCAGAAACATAATCATACTAATTTTCCAAAAGTCAAAAAACTTAGAAGACTTAAACAACTGGCATCCAATCTCATTAGTAAATTCTGATGCTAAAATCTTTATGAAAATTATAACAAACAAGCTTAATGTAATTTGCAAGAAAATTATTCCCAATCACCAACAATGATTTGTTTCTAGAAGATCAATAATGGACATAGCCTTGAATATAATTACTATATTAAGAAACTAATCAGACAGTTCCAAACAGCACTGGATGCTTTTAGTAAATCAGCAAAAGTCATTTGACAGAGTGAACTATAACTTTCTGAATCAGGTTCTAAGAAAAATGAACTTTGACAAAAAAATAACCAACTTGATAGCCAATCTCTTTTCAAACAAATAGCACACATTATGGAAAGCAATGTTCTATCTGAACCTTTTAGAGTAGAAAGAAGAGTACAACAAGAAGATCCTCTCTTTTTCTTACTATATGTACTTGTATTTGAACCACTATTCATACAAGTAGAAAGAAACATTCGAGAAATTCCTTTAAAAAACTAGTTCTTTAAGCTGTCAGCTTATGCAGATAACTTAACAATAGGAATAAGCTTATCATTAGACTGAATAAATATTATACAACTTTTTAAAACTTACAAAGCTGCCTCTAATGCAAAAATCAACAAGAACAAAACTAAATTAGTGCCCCTTACAAATACAGCCTACAGAATCAAACTTAAAGATAAATCTCAATTTACTAAAACTACTAAATAGAAAACACTAACAATTCTCAGATATGAAGTAAACACAAAAGACATTCCTAAAAAAGACTTATAGACAACAACAATCACTAGAATAAAAAAGACACTAGAAAAATCATCTAACTGAAATTTTTCTTTTAGAGAAAAAATTCTTTTAGCCAAAGCACTTATACTTTCATGAATATAGTATGCAGCATACTTAACTTTACCAAATAAAAAACAGATTGCAGAAATCAACAGACTTATAACACTCTGAATTAAAAACAATTCCAGAATGCTGTCTAGATACTCTATATTCTAGCAATCACTTAAACAGAATGGCCTTCAAGCCCCAATAGTAAAAAATATGCTAGTGCTAGACTAATCTTAGTATAAAAACAAATCTTTATGAGTAACTTTATATGGACCAAATATAAAAGAAAAAAAATTGCAAAAATCCTACTTGAAAAAAGAAACATATCAATAAATCAGACATTAAAGACAGACATTATTAGGACAAAAGCCTGGCCAAAAGAATAGAAACCATATCTCTTAGCTTGGAAAAAAGCTAAAAGCAAAGTTATTGCAACAACAATCTGGTCTTAGAAGCTCAAAAATATTAAAATAGAAAAACTTAATAGAGAAGAGCTTTCAGTCAAGAAAATCATTGAAATTCTAAAAAAAAGACTAACATCTGAACTATCTAATTCTAGCCAACAACCTAACTGAATGCTGGTTAAGAAAACAACTAACAAGAAAAAGGACATCTTATGGTGTCTTTTTCATAAAGCTTTATTACTAGGATATTAGCTATAGCATATAAGCCTTTTTATCACAGAAAACTGCCTCTGGTGTAATAATAAGCTGCAAATAGCTGAACATTTTGCACTTAAATGCAAAGTAAGCAAAGAAATCTGGAAACAGGCCTACAGTCTTCTAAAAACTAACTAAACTGAGACTCCTTCAACCTCTATAGAAGAACTTTTTACAGCAACAAACATTACAAATAACAAAAGCAAACAAGCCACTCTTTGGCTGCATATAAACATAATCTATAAATTATAGTGCACCTACACCTTTTTTAAATGAAGAGACAGCAACCTCTCAAGCAGAAGTCTACCCCTAATAATAATCAAACATCTTTGCAAAAACATACATACTCTGTACTACAATCTGAAAACTGTTTCCAAAAAATGAAAAATATATATAAATATATACAATGTTCTTAATAATTTGATTTTAATAAAAGAGCACTACATGTGCCTCTAGGTATTAACACCAGGAATAAATAATAATAAAAAATTAGTAACTTAACTATTAAGCTATAAAGCTTAACTTCTATATTTTAAATTTAAATTAGTAACTAGCATTAGTATAAAATTGTTATTTTTAAAATTTTTTTTTGTATTAAAGTTTTTATTTTTGAAAAATGATTTTTATTTAAATATTATTAAACACAAAAGCTTCTTTATATTGAAGATTACAACTAGCTATATGTGCACTTTTGATGTCTAATTTAAGTAGTTTATCTATATATTACTAAATAGGTTCTATATTAAATATTATATTTGTAAACCAACTATAAATCTTGTCTATTTAAACCTTTTGCATAATAATTTATTTGTATTACAAATACATCTTTAAGACTACATTTATTCAAAATTTTTAATTTTTATTAGTATTCTTAGAACTATTTTGTTTTTAATAAAAAACTTACTAAAGTTTTTTATATCTTATATATAGCTAACTTAGCTTTATATAATATGCTATAGTTAGGCTAATACTTGTAATCACAAATATTTTTTTTTTTTTTTAATATTAAAGTGAGTAATTGCAACTCAGAAGTTTATTGATAATTAGTTAGCATATAACTATTGTGTATAACAGCTACAGAGGCAATTATGAAAAGAATATACAACTAGCTACTTATACAACTTTAGTCATTGTCTATTTTAAGTAGTTTGTCTAAAGGTTTTACACTAGTTGCTATACCTAGAACCTGTTTGTAAATTTTCTATTTAAGCACTTTAGTTTCTGTATCCACTTCTACTCTATCAACTGCAATGTTAATTTGCAAATATACTATAATTACTAAGTCATGTTTAACTTTATACTAAGCCTACTAGAGCCTTCTGTATCTCATACTTACAGCTGACCTAGTACCACTCTGGTCTAGACTATCACTTGTATTCAAAGCTAACCATTAAACTACTATATCCTTGTAAAGTTCACTAAGATCCTGATATCTTTCTTTTCTAACTTCTACCCTTTACTTCTAAACCTGCAAGACTCATAAGACTTCACAAACTACCAATCCAGATAGCCCAGTATGGTATCCTAAAATCTTTTTCTTTTAGTGTTTTCTGGTGGCTGGTTGGTATATGCTTCTTTACACATGTTGTCTTTTTTTTTTTTTTTTTTTTTTTTTTTTTTAAGGTGACCTCTTTGGTCTTTTGACTTTTATTAATCACTTATCAGTAT